ATACTGTGAGATGAGTGCTGGAGGCTGGAGGAGAGGTAACACAGACATCAACAAGTGACCAGAGGGAAGAGTTGGAGCTAAATCTGAATACTGAGTGCAACAGGAATGAGAAGAAACTATGAAACAGAAAAGATGTAACCAAGATAGCTTGAACAAGAGTAGGAAGCCTTGTCTAAGACGGAGAACCTTGATGGTTAGAGTGGGCAGAGGGTGAGGAGGTGACCTGGGCAGCTACTAAGGCCTGGAATTCTAGATGAAGAAACTTGGATTTTGTTCTGTAGGAGATGAACACCCTTTGAAGGAGGTAACTTACAAAGATCTACATTACCCAATGTAACTTGGGGTAGCCGGTGGTGAGAGGGGAAAGAGGAATGCCATCAGAGGCTTGGGGGACAATGGGCACTGCAGACAAGAGAAGGTGGCCAACAAGAAGTTAACATGGAATTGACAGAACCAGGAATGACGAGGAGCTGTGACCCTGAATCTAGTGCTTCCAGATTATGCTTAGGGTAGTAATGAGACTGAGATCTAAGAACAGAGAAAAAACAGAAAGGAATTGAGAGGGACACCTAGTTTGTTTGGGACATACTGACCTTGACACAGTTGAAATTTTAGTGCCATAGATAAGGAAAGGGAGGTGAAGTCTGAGGTTTTTCTGGGAATTATCTTCATATTTGTAATGTTCACGCTGTGGAAAAGGAAACCACCAGAGTGGAGAGCTGAAGAAAGAATGGAGGATTATCCTTGATGAACTAGATAGTAGTTGCTGTGTAACAGATCACTCTAAAACCTAGAAATTGGAACAGTAAATATTTACTCTCTCACAATTTCTTGGGCTTGGGTGTATCTGAGAGCCACTTGGCAGGCTGCCCATGCTCAGAGTCTCCACAGATGTACCTGTTGGCAAGGGTTGGACTCATCTGAGGCTCGACAAGGACCAGAACTCATTCAGTAGGCTACTATGGACAGGAGGCTTCAGATTTTCCTCTCTGTTACACTACATCTGGCTTCCTTCTGAGAGGATAGCTCCTCCTCCTGCTTCTAGGGCTTGTGAAAACAGCAGTGATATGTGCTCGCTCAACATGCCCACATTCCAGGAAGTCAGTACTGCACAGAGATGCACCTTTATCCTTACTCTCAGAGGGTGGAGGCATTTCTGACCTATCAGGGTTGATGAATTGCTACTTCTGTCATGTGGGTCACACAGCACAACCGTATCACAGTACAAGAGAGGGGACCACAGAAGGAAATTCAGAGACAGCAACTACAGATCACTGGACAGGAGGACAATAAACAAAGAAGATCCCATAATCGGCATAGATAAGACCAAATTATAAACACAAAAGGACAGTGTAAATGGGGGAGATCCTCCAGAAAGAGAGGGAGATTTCATATGCTAATAAGCCTGAGTGGGAGGAACCAAATGAACTCAGAATTAGGCAACTGAACTTGTGATGCCCTATCATTTTCTTCTACTGACACCCAGCTGAGGGTCACGGAAATAAAATCTAAGGAAGGATATAAACTATCAAGAGGTCATCTAAATCAGCCCGGACATCACTCCAGGGACAGCTACAGATTTGAGTTATACCCACGATCTCTCTACTGCTTTGTGGAAGCTTCCTCAAGCCCAGTGGCTAAAGAGTAGCACATACTCACATTTCATCTTCTCCTCACTTCTCAAGATCCCCAGAGCCATTCCTCACATCTGGAAATTCTGTGTTCCTGTCAGTGGTGTTCAATTTATGTCCATCCCAGATGGTTGGGGTGTCTGAAAAACACCCCTGTATAGTAACAAACAGAAGCTCCAGACAAAGCCGAAAGGGAGCCTCGGCGAGCTGGTACACCGCTCCTGTGGACCACCTCCAGAGAAGATGGGAGCTTTCAGTGAATCAACCTCCAAGTCCTCAAATCTAGGAGAGAGGCTCCAAATGCTGATTTCAGACAAAAGTCTTTCTAAATCATCTCCGCAGTTCCTCGACGAGTCTCCTCTCATGGGGCAGCTTCATGATGAAAGTATCTATAAATCAAAAGCTGAGAGAGCAGCAGAGGGTCTGAGCCAGAGGCAGGACCAGACACATTGTGTGACCTTCATTTCTTTCCTTTGTGATATCGAACACGTTCACCTAGACAGACACAGTCTGAGAGGAAGAATGGGATTGCATATGTGTGCAGCGCTGACTCTGGAACATAGGTGTGTTGAGCAAGCATCGGCTCTCACTGCAAGCATTAGCCTCACAGCCATTCTCACAAGCCCTGGAAGCAGGACAACTTTTTGTCAAGTGCTTAGATTACAGCGGTCCCTTTAAATCACTTTTTGTCAAGTGCTTAGATTACAGCGGTCCCTTTAAATGTATATCCACAGCTCAACTTCCCCACACCATCCAGGGACCATTGCCTCTCTCAGAGCCTATTGGAACTGGAGTCTCTCTCTGTCTCTGTCTCTGTCTCTGTCTCTGTCTCTGTCTCTCTCTCTCTCTCTCTCTCTCTCTCTCTCTCTCTCTCTCTCTGTTTCAACTTCCAACCACTGCGCTCCACAGGACAAAGTCAAAATTGACAATGGCTTGTTTTTTTATACACATCCCACCACTGTCCTGAGCAATGGGGACCCTGCCTGGAACATTCTCTATGACTTCCTGATGAAATAAGACTTTCTGTCATCAGGACTTTTCCAGAATCCACACAGATTCCAGAACCCCTGGCCACTTCAGTTCCTCTGCCTTCCTTCTGTCCTTCCATCCTCTGCCTATCACTGGCCTGTTGAAAATGAAACTCCTGGGCCTTCCGCTAAGTGCTCAGGGAGCCCTGCCCTATTTTTCCTCTGGGCACATTAATGATGCAGGGTCGGACTTGCATGTCTAGGGCCTCTCTTCTTTCTCATCCAAGTCCTATTTTAGGGGCTAGCCACGGCTTCCCAGCAGTCTTTTCTCTAAACTGCAAGTGATCTGGGGAACTTTGCCAAGACAGACTTCTTTCTGCCCCACGGGGTTCCACAAATGGGATTAAACGGTCTTAGACCCACTTTGTGGTTTCTTCCAAAGGGCTCACACCGGGATCCCTCTTCCATTTTGCTTCTGTAAGGGACTCTTCTTTTCTCACACCATCACCTCAGTGCCATTTTCCAGATCCCTGAAGAGGGCAGCTCAGTGAAAAGGGGCACCTCTGGGTTTTGAGGAATGCCCTAACTTTATGACCTTTAGTTCTCTACCTGTCCCTCTGTGAGCTTAAAACAGGAAAAGGCTGTGCATTCAACCAGTTCAGAAACAGCCCATTCTGTCAGGCAGAGTGCATCCCATGGTGACCTGAAGCCTACTGTAACTACTGGAAGCCTGCTGTAACCACGTGACCTGAAGCCTACTGTAACTACTGGAAGCCTGCTGTAACCAGGTGATGACGCAGATCTCCAGTGTAACAGCTCCCAAAGCCATCCCACTGCAGCTTGTTGTCTCACGGGACAGACTCCGCCCTTGTCACTCTTATCCTGACTAGGAGATCTATAGAGGTATAGTGCAGCCTGCCCATGAGCCCCTTGCTAGAAGTAAGAGGGACTTCCCCCAGAATCCCCCACGCATGTGCCCCATCTGAGCTGTTGGCCCAGAACTGGGTCACCTCCTTATTCCTAAAGTATCAACTGGGAAGGGGAGGCCATGGCCATGGTCAGTGGACTAAACTGTCCTTACCAGCCAAGGCCAGGAAGAAGTCCCCTTCTGAGCACAGGAGTGTGAGGCACAAAGCAAAATAAGCCACTATGGCTGGGGAGAGGCAAGTGGCAGCTGTGGTGTGACAGGGGTTTTCCACAGAGGAAAAGAGTTCTCAGAGAAGGCTGTGAGTCACAGAGCTACTGTGGCCCAGGCCCCAGCTCCTTCCTCAGATCAACTCTGTGTGTCACAGAGATGCCCTAACCTGCATCTGGCATAGGGGGTGCTGTCTGCCAAGACATATCACATTTCAGAACGCTGGGAATAGATACTCAGCTAATAGAAAAATAATCTGATAATAAATGGTCTAATCAGTGGAGAAGTAAATATGCCAAGTCATAATACTACTCGGTGAGTGTTCCCCACCCACAGTGTGTGTGTGTGTGTGTGTGTGTGTGTGATACATTTCTACACCTCGTTTTAAGCATCATATGAGCACAGAGGTTTTTACAAGACAAAGTGAGTTATGGGATACAAATTAATGACCAAACTATAATAATCTTAATAATAAAATCCCAATTCATTAAACAGCAAAGAAAGGTGCATGCTTACACCAAAGTTTCTGCTATTATTAGGGTTGGTCAGTTTGTCTGTTTTTGCCTTTCACCCCACATGAGTGGACAAGGAAGTTTTCTGAAAAGAGCTGGCAGGAAGACTAAAAAGCAATACTGTTCAATCCACTAGATCAATTGTAAAGTAAGAGCCAGCGAAGCCACCCAGGACCGATCTTTGAGGCGAGTGCGTCAGTGGGGCTCTGAGAACAGCAGTACAGTTATATTTCTTCTTTATCTCCTGCCACAGTTATCAAGGTCGAACACCTTTGGGTCTCCCCAAGGTCACCCAGTTAATTATTCACACAGCACACACAGTGGTTTCCCACATCTCACATCCAGATGCCTGTGAAAAACAGAAGAGGGTCTCTATGTGCTGTGGTCTGAGCTAAAGGGTCTTGTCGGAGTTCAAATCTACCAGATGAGGAAATATTTTCAGTCCACCTATATACAGAAGGGAAAAGCCTCAAACTCAATTCAAAATCTCTTCCCACTGGTGATTTCAAGACATATTCCTTCTATCTCCCACCCCAGATTAGCAGGTACCCAGTCTTCTCAAGGACCCCAGAAGGTGTGAGGTGCTGGTGTGACTTTCTTGACTTTCTTGGTGTGGCCTGGTGAGGAAGGGCTTGGGCTCCAGCTTTCCTGTTCCCTCCTCCCAGCTAGAAACAGTTAATTGCCAGCTTGAGGCTGCCTCCAGCCCAACCCTAATCAGCATGATCTCAGGCTTCTGCATCAGGGCTGAAGCAGCTCCAGGCCAGGCCAGGGCTGTGTGGAGCAGGGAGAGCATTCTTCCAAGATAATGATTAAACTGAGCAGCACTTGGCAAGGGCACAGGCTGCTACTAGGAAGGTGAGCCCTATTCACACCTCAGCCAGGCTGTGGCGGCGAGAACTGGAGCGGGAAGGCAGAGCCCAGAGGTCCGGGGCCCCCAGCCGCCCCCTGCTTGTGAGGGGCATCCGGAGCATCTCAGATCCAGAGGAATCTGTGCGGTCTGCTCACACCTTGGGCACCATGGAGCTCCAGGTGTTCTGGACTGGGCTGGAATATACCTGCCGGCTCTTGGGCATCGCTACGGCTGCAGGTAAGATCCTACCTTATCTACACATCCTTGTTCAGAGGTACAACGGGGAAGGCTACAAGAGAAATGGTTTCCAGCCAGGAGACGGTAGGCACATCTGGCTATAACTGCCCTCCAGTTTCTCTTTTGAGACCCTCGGACCCCCTCTACTGTGGGAAAGCAGCAGGTGCAGAATAAGCCTCAGGCAGCTGAAGAAGAGCGAGTCTTGGGTCTGGTGCTGAGACTGAGTGGCAGCCTGCTCTAGTGAGACCTTGGGAACCTTCAGCATTCAGCACTCTGCAACGAGCTAAGGGGTCTGCCCTCTGCCCTCAGAGGGCTATGAGGATAGCAGGTTGAGGTAGGGACTGGAGGTGAAGGTGTAAAGGGCCAGAAAAGTGTGAGAATTGTACCATTGTGTACTTACGAAACTGGTCACCTAAGTTCTCCTTGCTGTGTTCAACAATAGCCCTATCCAATCAGAAAGAACTCCATTGACCGGGCAGCTCTGTCCTCGGGAGATGCATGGGGTATCTCCCGGCAGGCTTCCTCCGGCCCTCCCACACCCTGCTGACAAATGCATTGTTGGAAACCAGCCCTTTGCTATGCATCATCTACAGGAGTGGGACTCAGGTGACCGGAATTCACCGGAGCGGCTCCACTAACTGGGATTTCAGATGGTTAACAAAGAATTGACTTCTGACCCTAACCCTGACCTTAGCCTCATCATCCAGAAGCAGAGAACCTAAGCTGAGGAACTGAGCAGCAGTGATCTGAGCCCCTAGCTGAGTGCACCAAGTCCCTTGGGGGAAAGGCTGAGATACATGTCAAATCCTTTGCATTTATACAAAACCTTTCTCAAGATTCTCTCCCAATGGAAAGGACCTCCAGTTCAAATCAAAGCCATGTGAACCAAGCCTCAGGCCTCACATGCGTATCCAACCTTGGTCCAGCCCTGTAGAGCTTTGAAGTCATGCTTCCTGACCATGGTGATGGATGGATCTGCTGGCCAAGAGTTCTGACAGAGGTAGTGCTTAGAGAAACAGCATGTGGACAGAGGTTCTTGGTAGATGCCCTTGTGATTTACTGCAGTATCAGTGGGGATTCAAATCATTCTTGGGGGTACTAGGTTGGGTACCAGCTTTTGGGCTCTTGTGGCACCAGAGCTATGAGTAACAGCAGGCAGGGTCAAATTCCAGCCCTCCTGCTATGTGATGGAGCGAATGAACTCAGATTGGAGCCGTGACCCTGCCAAGGTCACACAAGAAGTTGGAGCATCAGTAACCTGGAATATTGATTTCTGGATTTTTCCCAACAGTGCTGGACAAAGCCTTCCCTGAATTTTCCAGCAAAAGAATTGGTCTGTTCAGACCTTTGTAGATAGGCCTGGTGGAAGAGCCAGCTCTAGCTCCCCTTAGAAGCACAATGCCTCTTAATTAAAGGCAATGATCACAAAAGCCCTCAAGGTAACCCTAAAACTTCTCCATGACGAGACTGAGAGTTATCATCTCCCACTGGTGCCCCAAGTTCATTGTGTTCCCTCTGCACCTTGACTTTTAAATATAGACACTATACCCTTCAGACTACCAGGAATCTTACATATACTAAACAGCCATACAGAGCTACTATTTCCATCCTGCCAGGAAGCTGCTTAAGATGCACATATCTGCCCTTCTAATGGACTACTGAGTCTAATTCATCTCAACTTAAAGGCAGCCTTTCACTCCACACCCCCCAGCACATGTGCACACCAAGGCATATTGCACATCTTAACCACAACCTTCATCTCTGCAAAGAGTTTGCTGCTAATGCTGAAGATGGTCCTCCTGCTTGGCTTTGATACAGATCCAGGCTAAAATTAGGCTGCAGTTGCCTTTAGGGCCAAGCTTTCAAAGAATAGCCACTGGGCTTTCCAGAGTGCTACTGGTGCTCTCTGGCAGATCTCAGGTTTCTCCTGACATCACTGGCCTTCGGGCCTCTGTCCAGTACATAAGATTTGCAAATTCTTTATTCCCTTAAGCCTCTTTGGTTGAAATCCTCTGTTGAAAAGTCCAGGCCCCATTATAGGAACATTGCTCCTAAAGGGGGAATGAGATTTGAAATAGAGACCAATCAGCATTTTGCAGAAACCCAAGGGAGTGGGGTATATGAGGTTCCCTTGTATATAGACAGAATGGATTGTTCGGATGTTAGGCAGGGATGTGAACAAAACCTCTCAAGGTATCACCTCCGGGGATTTGCAGATCCTGGGAGGTGGCAGCTTCTGCCCCAGAAGCCTCCCTTGTGGACCCTGGAGACAGGCTCAGGGCTTTTAGACTCCAAGTGCTCCATGACACAGCAGTTTCCTGTGGCTGTGGTTGAGGCATGCTCCGTGGAGAGGGCTGCTCACTACACTGCTTCCTCCACCCGACTCCCTTCAGGAAGCATTGCTCAGGCCTGTACTGCAAGTGGTTTTCAGGACAGACACTACAGCCAGCCCAAAGCAAGCAAGCCAAAGTAGACAGGCAGTACCCACCCAGAGTATTTTCAAAATGAGGAAATCCTGCCCCTTGGAACAGTCACGTGGTTTCTTAATCACCACACACACGCACACATGCACGTACGCACGCACGCACACACGTGCACACTACTCTAACGTGATCTTACAAAGCACTTCCCTGGCCTTAGAAGTCATGGGGGCATGAGGGCTGTGTGTTCAGTATGTGAATGTGTGAGTGTGACCTCTAAGTGCTCCTGTTGCCACAGACACACTAAGAAACTATGCACAGACCAAGAGGTTCTGCCCACCCTGTGCAGATGTGGGAAGATCTGTGTATCCATCGCTGAGAGCAGGCTTTCACCGCATTCTCCCAAAACATGGCAAACATACCCTGTATGAGAGCCAGAGACTTAGTGGAAGCGATACCTTATAGTTTGGGTTGGTTGGGTTTTTGTTTTGAGGCAGGCTCTATATTTAGCTTAGGCTAGCCTCAAATTTGCTACCTTCCTATGTTAGTCTCTGGGATTATAGCTGTGGACTGTCTCACCCATCATGTGATTGTTTATATAAGCCGGGCACCTGAAAGGACCTGGTAAATAGATGCTAAGTGGACAGGGTAAGGCACCTGCTGCCCCATAGGAAGTGGCTGTCTAGTAGAATTCATCCCCGGTGTTTGGACAGAGGCAGACCTGCTCTCCTTTGAACTTGTACAGCGCTTATTCTCAGGGAACTCCCAGTAACCTTTCGCCTCTTCTCAGCCCTGCACAGGCCAGAAAAGGAGGAGGCTCCCAAGACAATGCACAGGTGCCTTGCCCAGTCCCCAGGGCGTGGAATTCAGGAAGGAGGGGAGTCCTGTCTTTGGGTCTTTATCTGGGGAGGATGCTTTATTGGCTGTCAGTACACTCAAATCGGCATGGACTTTCCCAAGAGTGATCTGTCCCCTGGAGGAGGGGAATGTCATTATCAATACTTGTTAGGGCCTCCCAACCTACCTCAGGTTTATGCTGAAGGTTTGTCCCCTCACCCCACCCCATTCCTATCCACTCAGACCCTCACACTGTCTCTACCCAACCTCCCTACTCCCTATCCACAACCTCCAAGTGCACGTGTGCCTTCATTTGTTTCTCTATTTGATTCCTGTAGTCTCTGGCTAATGGTAGCTGGAATCTTCACCATGGCCAAGCCCTGTGCTACTTTTTTCAGTGCAAAACCTTATTCCATCCTCTGTATTATCAACTGAGGCCACACTATACTCATCACCATAACCATCGTACAGGGGCAGACACTGAGGCTTGGAGAATTGAAGCACTCTGTTCAAAGTCTTCTCCAAGGAAGCCGGGAGACAGAGTCTATTCTTGATACCCCACTTTTAATCAGTGTCCTCTGTCTAAACAAGGGAAATGGACTGGGAAAAACCAGGCTCAACACTCAAAACAGGCACCAGGGACTGAGTGGAGAATCACAAGAATTTGTGCATACTGGAAGACTCAGGAGTAACAACCTCCCCAAAGTCCAATTATCCCATTGCAGTTACCTGGATTATAGCTAAGCAGGGCAGCACCATTCCTGACTTTCCTCTTTGTTGGTAGATTAAAGTTTTACAAGTAGCTCAATTCAAGATTAGTCACTGTGGTTTTATTTCCCAATCAATTTTAGTCTTCTGTCTCAAAAGGGCGCATTTCTCTGTATTTTAATGACTCTAAGATATAGGAAAACACTCAGAAAGAACAGTAGAGAGGCCCAGTCAGAGCTCCTCCTTGTCTACCCTATGACCTTCCCCTGAGTCAGTCCAACTGTGCACAGACTCAGACTGGGAGTGGGGCTGGGTCATAGGCGTGACTGTACTGCAGCAATAATAAAATACTGTCAAGTACACCAAGTGCTTTCCACTCTCTGAAGCTAAAGACGCTGGTATTTAAGCTATCTGCTGGTTCCCCACTCTGAATAATCTAAGGGCTGGACATAGCAGAACAACCAAAGGAATGGAGTGGTCAACTTGTTTGTCAAACTAATGAACTTCTCCCAAATCAAGTCAATTCCTTGGAGTCAATACAGGAATCACTCAAGGCTGGTTTTGTTTGTTTGTTTGTTTGCTTGCTTGCTTGCTTGTTTGTTAGTTTTGTTATCACCCATTAACCTGATTTTTTATTTAATAGACACAACACATTCTAAATAGCAGCATTCCTTACTACATACCCTTCAAATATACAAATGAATGACAAATTTGGATGAGGACAAAAGCAGCATTTAAGGCCCAGGTGTTCTCATTTCTCAAAGGGTACAACAAGGCTTATGCTAAAAGTTTATCCACTCAAAGCATTCAAAAACAGGTAACTGTCTAGGGCCCTGCAAGCTAATTTTTTCTAATTTTGTATATTTATTTACCTTTATTGTATGAATGTTTAGCTTTGCATATTCGTCTGTTCATCACATGTGTACCTGGTCCCCTTGAAGGTTAGAAGAGGATGTGAGATCCCCGGAACAAGAATTATGGAAGTTGTAAGGCACTGTGCACATGCTGGAAATCCACACACACACACCCATCTCC